GAGAGCGTATGTGTGTCTGTGCATGTGTGTTTGCACATGTGCACACATGGGGAGTTTATCGGGAGTTAGAATTTTAATTTGCAGTGTTTATGCTGATGGTTTATAACTAATTATCTGTAGCTGGAGTCTAATTATTGTAATAAATTGTGATTCTTGTTCAGTTCCAATCTTGACCTGAAAATCCGATATCCAGGGGACTTTTGTGTGGAAGGGGAGGTGATGGCCTAGTGGTATTATCACTAGACTATTAATCCAGAGCCCCAGTAATATACTGGGAACCCAGGTTCAAATCCTGCCATGGCAGATGGTAGAATATGAATTCAAATAAGACCAGGAGTTAATAATCTAATATTGACCATGTTGATTGTTGGGGGGAAAAACCCATCAGTTTCACTGGTGTCCTTTAGGGAAGGAAACTACCATCCTTACCTGTTCTGGTCTACATGTCACTCCAGACCCACAGCAATGTGGTTGACTCTTAACTGCCTCTGTCTAGTCCAGTATTCATTGACTATTGCTAACTGACCTCTGGGCAATAAATGCCAGATTAGACAACACCCACATTGTATGAAAAAAAAATCTTTAATTTTTCTGACAACTCTGGGGATAGCAGATTTTGATTCCCAGTGAGTGGGACACAGACCCGATGCACGGAGGGTGTTTTCCCTGGGTGGGGAGTCTAGAACCAAGGGGTCACTATCTCAGGATACAAGGTAGGCCATTTAGGGCTGAGAAAAGGAAAGATTTCTTCACTGAAAGGATAGTGAACCCATGGAATTCTCTCCCATAGAAGGCTGTGGAGGCTGGTCACTGCGTAGAGTAATCTCTCCTGTATCTAAAATACAGGGGGAGTTGCGATGGTGGAGAGTGCCAGTTAGTTGAATCTGCTAGTGGCATGAGATATACTAATATGTTGCCACCACAATGTGAGATTTAAAACCAAGAAGACAACCATAAATGCCAGCGTACCAGGCAGGCTATGTATCATATGGCTTTGTCGATGAGGTCAATCTTGAACCAGCTTTAATCAAACATCGCACCCATTATTCTCCTGCAATAATTAATATCGGTAACATCCCAGTTATCAGATACCAAGCATCTGGAATTCCCATTTTAAATCTCAGATGCCGTATGCAGGAGAATTCCAGATGCTTGGGATCAGGATAATGATGATGTTATATTCAAGAAAGAAATTGATTAAATTAGAGGGCATAGGTTTAATGTGTGAGGGGAGAGATACAAAAGGGTCCAGATGGGCAACTTTTTCATACAGAGGCTGGTGAGTATTGGGAATGGACTGTCAGAGAGAGTGGTGGAAGCGAGCACAATTTCATCGTTTAAGAAACATTTAGGCAGGTACATGATGGGATAGGTATGGAGCGATATGGACCAACAACAGGCAAATGGGACTAGTTTTATTGTGAAAACTGGGCGGCGTGGACAAGTTGGGCTGAAGGGGCTGTTTCCATGCTGAAGACCTGTATGACACTAAATTTTTGATATTAAAGACGTCAAGGGCTATGGAGAGAAACAGGTGTACGGCATTGAGGTAGAGGATCAGCCATGATCATATTGAATGGCAGAGCAGGATCAAAGGGCCGAATGGCTTACTCCTGCCCCTGTTTTCTGTGACCATCTTGACCAGCCGACCACTTTTACTACTCACTGGCAGCGCCCCCTGGAAGCACGGAGCTGCATTGTAGTTTGCATTTGAAAGGCTTTAAAGGGGACACTTTGCACATAGGCACAGACATCTAGGTCTCAGACTGGACCAGGCTACAGCTCAGAGCTGCTCACCTGTTCTCTTAGCGTACGCTCACCTCGCACCTGTGTGCTTGATCACAGCATCCCTGCCGTGCCTTGCTTTGACTTGACTTGTCATGCCATACTGTGCCAATTAGCAGACTCACACAGTGGGGCAGCTGGCCAGCGATCCTCAGCCCAGCAGGCACACATTTTGCTGTACGGTTGTGTGTTACGTCAATCTCACAGTTGCACAGCAGCTTATTGGCAACCTCACCGCATGGGTAGCAAGCAGGCTGCCATCTATCCAGCTCATAGGGGAGTAATCCTCAATGAAGCCCTTGGAGGCACATGTCAGTTAAAGGCTCCTGGCACAGTAAGTCAGGAGCAGACTCCCATACCATTCCAGGGGGTGGTCAACCGGGAGGGGGTGAGGGAGTCTGTACCTCTGCTGCCCACAGATGGGGCTATGGTCAATCTGTTGGTGTGTCAGTGGGCATTCCAGAAGTTAATCCAGTTGGGGAGATGTACAGGCAGCAGTACCTGTAGTTGGCTGGTCATGTCGGCCAAGGGACTGGGCCACAGTCAGTCCATCAGGTCTGTCCTCAGAAACTGAGTGAGGAGTCGGGGGGTGGGTTGGGGAGACATAACCACGACATTGAACCTTTGCCTTCAGAATTGGGGGTTCCAAGTTCTGGGCAGGAGTGCAGTACAATTGTGAACTGGGAAGCAGGATTTTGAAGGCGATTAGACTGTAGAGCGTACCTGGGAAGCGGTGTCCATCTCATCAGCCTGGGTCTGAATGGTAAGGGTAGGCAGGTGTAGGCAAAGGTAGAGGAATTGGGTGCAGATGTTGGGCAAGTGTGATCCCTGTGTGGGTTGACTGCATGGGCAATTGGGAAGAGGATGTGGATATTTTGGGGGCTCAGTGACACAGTGACATAGAGGTGAGGGACTCAACCTGTGAGGGAGGGCTGCAGTACACACCATTCAACGGGCTTTTAAAAGGGGAACAACATGGGTCATATGCCCCAGGAGGTCCAGTGCAAAGGCCTGTAGGGTACATATTCCCCGGCCACCCTGCACCAATGCCCCTCTCGTCACCTTGTTGGTACAAAAACATCCCAAAGCTCTTTACTGAATGGTAATCAGACAATCTTTGAAACATTTTCCCAATCAACCAGTTCAGAGATATTATTGCAGACCTCTGGAGCACAACAAGAAGACACAACAAAGCCCTTCCTCAGGAGGCTATGGAAACTCAATATGTCTACCAGGATTCTTACCAATTTTTATAGATGCACCAAAGAAAGCATCCTATCTGGATGGATCACATCATGGAATGGCAAGACCTCAAGAAACTAAAGACAGTCATGAACACAGCCCAGTCCATCACAAAAACCAGCCTTCCATCCAATGATTCCATCTCATTGCCTCGGGAAAGCAACCAACATGATTAAAGACCTCTCCCACCCCGGTTACACTCTCTTCCACCCTCTTCCATTGGGCAGAAGATACAAAAGTTTGAAAATGCATACCAACAGATTGAAGAACAGCTTCTGCCCCGCTGTTATCACACTTTTGAGCAAACCTCTCAAATGTTAATGTTGATCTCTCTCTCTGCACCTTCTCAGTAGGTATTCTGCACTCTGCTCTGATGCACTTTGTATTGTATGATCTGCCTGTATGGCACACAAAAAACACACTTTTCACTGTATCTCAGTGCATCTGACAACAATAAATCAATCAGAGCAGACGGGACTTGAACTTGGGCTTCCTGACTCAGAGGTAGGGCTACTACCACTGCACCACAAAGCCCCTCAGATTACCTTTGATACCAAGCCACTTAAGCAGATACCGGGCAAGTGACTAAAGCAAACATCTTACTGGCAGGGAGAAAGCAAGGAGGCGAGGTTTACCAAGGGGGTTCTATAGCTTTGAGCTCCAGGTAGCTGAAGGCACAGCCAGCTGTGTTGAAGAAGCCAGAGTTAAAGGAGCACAGAGATCTCAGAAATTAGTGAGGTTGGAGAAGGTTACAAAGATTGGGAGAGATTTGAAACCAAGATTTTAAAAAAAGTTAAAATGGAAGCAATGTGGGATAAAATTGATCCAGTGTGGAACAGTACACACCAGGGAGAGGGTTAAATCATGGGACTTGTGTTAGCTAGTATATTGGAGAAGTGCTTATGTTTAGAGAGGGTAACAAACCTGTAGAAAGAGGCAAGAATGAGATGTATCCCTTTAGAGGGAAATGGATGAGATATACCTCTGGAAAGGGCAGCTTTGTAGGGCTACAAAGAGAACCGGTCAATGGTAGATTGGTTTGCACTTTCAAAGGACCTATATCTGTCTAATGGGCCGACTGGCATCCGTCTCTGCCAGATTCTACACATTCACTGATTGCTGGAAACTAACTTTCAAGAACCAATCATGATGCACAGATCCTCTAATTAGAAACCCCCCCCACCCTAAGAATTCACTCTGCTCTACTTAAGAACATTTTTTAAACACCATTTAAGAAAGTAACTCATCCTTCTTTCCTGCTGCACCAACGGCATCCCATCCACCACTGATGCTCAGTAGCAGAAGTGTGTATTGTCTACAAGATGCACTGCAGAAATTCACCAAAGATCCTTAGACAGCACCTTCCAAGCCTACGACCACTCCCATCTAGAGGAAGGGCAGCAGATACATGCGAACACCACCACTTGCAAGTTTCCCTCCAAGCCACTCACTATCCTGACTTGGAAATATATCGCTGTTCCTTCACTGTCACTGGGTTAAAGCCCTTGAGGTTTCTGGTGGCATTCTGGGCCTACCTACAGCACATGGACTGCAGCGATTCAAGAAGGCAGCTCACCCCTACCTTCACAGGGGGCAACTAGGGACAAGCAATGAATGCTGGTTTAGCTTACAATCCCAGTGGGCGCTGTGCTGATATAGTCCAATCCACTCTAGAGGTGTGTCATAACTAGGTACCAACAGGTTGATGTAAAAATATAAACGCCCAATCCCATGAAATGAATAACATGTAAAATCATTGCGGGTCTCTGACACCCTGTCAGATGCCTGGATCTGGAACTGAGGGGCAGGCAGCACTGAGCAGTGGATATATGCGTGGAACACCAGTCTGTAAATGTTTACGACGGACGCCAAGGGGTTAACCCGAGCAACTTTCGGTTCGCGAAGCGGATGAAGACGAGCTCTCAATGGGCGGGTTGAAACAGCCCACCTCCAAGTGAGACCCACCCCCTGGAGCTGGGATGCTCCTCACCATGACCCCCCTCACTCTCTTTGACAGGGAGACATCCGGCTAGAATCTTCTTTACCCCCTCCACCCCCAAACCTTAACCCGGTCTTGGGTGGGCGGGGAGTTGCAGCCCGGGGATTCCCCTCGGCCCGGTGACGTCACCGGCGCTTGTTACATTTCACTGTTGCCAGTTTCTCCTGTCACTTTCAGCCATGGAGACTCCCAGCGAAGGCACAGACTGGAGGAAGCATATTATCCGACAGCTCCAGCACCGAGATCTCCGCCAGAAACTCCACTTCGAGGATCTCATTCACTCCTGTGAGCCTCTTGCTCTTGTCCGTTTGGGGTGGGGTAGGGGTTTTGTTCTTTTTTTTTTGGGTGGGTGCGGTGGAATTGATGAGGGGGGACGCGGTAGCAAAACAGTTCATGTTTTCTCCACTCCACTCGCACCCCTGCAAAATCCGCTGATTTTTATTTTCAATTTCGCCACTACCTTGACCGGATTTGGTGGGGGGAAAAAAAACATCAGCTGTTGCTCACAAACCCTCCCACCCGCTTTATTTGTAATCTGATATCAGGTTTGCTGGTTCGGCCTGTCACTGCTGTACAATGTCTAACATTCCGAGCCTGTCTCTGTTATTCAGGGGTTCCTACGTGCTTATTTTAGTTTCTTACTTTTGTCGGAGTCATACTAGGGAGCCTGGGCTAGGCCAGTGTTTATTCCCCGTCCCTAGTTGCCCCTTTGAGAAGGTGGGGGTGAGCTGCTTTCTTGAATCACCGCAGTCCATGTGCTGTAGGTTGACCCACAATGCCCTTGGGGGGGTTGATTTCCAGGATTTTGACTCAGTATCATTGAAGGAACGGTGATATATTTCTAACTCAGGATGTTGAGTGGCTCAGAGGGGAACTTGCAGGAGGTGGTGTTCCCATGTATCTGCTGCCTTTGTCCTTCTAGATGGAAGTGTTTATGGGTTTGGAAGGTGCTGTCTGAGGATCTTGGGTAAATTTCTGCAGTGCATCTTGTAGGTAGTACACACTGCTGCTACTGAGCGTTAGTGGTGGAGGGAGTGGGATGTTTGTGGATGTGGTGCCAATCAAGCGGCTGCTTTATCCTGGATGGTGTCAAGCTTCTTGAGTGTTGTTGGGGCTGCACTCATCCAGGCAAGTGGGGAGTATTCCATCACACTCCTGACTTGTGCCTTGTAGATCGTGGACAGGCTTTGGGGAGTCAGGAAGTGAATTATTCATGTGCTGGGAGCTGAGCTAGGCCAGCATTAATTCACCATTTCTAGTGGCCCTCGAAGGTGGTGGTGAGCTGCCTTCTTGAACCACTGTAGTCCATGTACTGTATATAAACTGACAATGCCCTTTATGGAGGGAATTCAGGATTTTGATCTAGCGACACTGAAGGAACAGTGATATATTTCCAATCAAAATCTTGGTTTGGCAGAGGTCATGGTGACCCTATGCTTTAACTACTCTTGTCAGTTGCAATTCAGGGATGTTGTTAATGATCTGATGACTGTGAGTTCAAGATCTCACTTCAGAAACTCTGGCACAAGTTCTGAGTTCAGAAGGAGTGCTGTGCTGTTAAAGGTGAGGATTGCAGGGTAAAGGCAGGAAAGTGGAGCTCAGTATAATCAGCCCAGTCATGATCCCACCGAATGGCAAAGCAAATTTGATGGGGTGAATGGCCTAATTCTGCTCTTGTGTCTGATAGTTTTCTGGGCTTTCAGATGAGATGTTAAACTGAGAGGACATTTACACTGTCAAGGAGACAAAAAAACAAATTCCAGGAAGCTATTTCAAAGAACATGTGCTCTCTGCTTTGTGACGTGAGACAATATTTATACAAACAACATCTCTAATCCAGTGCATTTGCTGTTGTGAGAGCTTGCTGTGCAACAAGTTTCCTACATTGCAACAGTGACTACTTGAGGATTTGAGTTTAGATAGAGATGCCATACAGCAGTTATGCAGGATCTTGGTAAAAGCATGCCTGGAGTATTTTAGAGATAGTAGGAACTGCAGATGCTGGAAAACCTGAGATAACAAGGTGTAGAGCTGGATGAACACAGCAGGCCAAGCAGAGGAGCAGGAAGGCTGACGTTTCGGCCCTAGACCCTTCTTCAGAAATGGGAGTTTTTTTTAACAGAGTCATACAGCACTGAAGAGGCCCTTTGGCCCATCTGGGTTGAGCATCCAAAATTACTCAAAATCTAAACTCATCCCACTTTCCAGCAATAGATGCTTTGAATGTTATCACACTTCAAGACCTCATCTAAGTACTTTTTAAAGGTTATGAGGTTTCCCACCTCAACTACCCTCCCAGGCAGTGCATTCCAAACCCACCACTCTCTGGGTGTAAAAGGTTGTCTCAAATCCATTTCAAACCTCCTGCCTTTCATTTCAAAATTACGTACCCTCATTATTGACACTTCAACCCAGGGGAGCAGCTGCTCCCTATTCGCCCTGTCCATGCCCTTCATCATCTTATACACCTCAATCTGATTCCCCCCGAACCTTCTCTGCTCTAAATAAAATGACCTGAGCTTATCCAAGCCTCTCTTCATCGCTGAAATGTTCCATCCCAGGCACCACCCTGATGAATCTGCTCTGCACCCCCTCCAGTGCAATCCCATCCTTCCTGTAGCGCAGTGACCAGAACTGCACACAGCTCTGGCTGAACCAAAGTCCTGTACAGCTCAACAAGGTGCAGGGCTGGATGAACACAGCAGGTCAAGCAGCATCATAGGAGCAGAGTACAGTTCCCTGTTCTTATAATCTAACCCATGACTAATAAAGGCAAGTGTCCTGTATGTCGTCTTAACTAAACAGTTAATCTGTCCTGCTGCATTCAGGGATCTTTGGATAAGCATCCCAAGATCCATCTGCTCCTCTGAGCAATATACCTTGTGAACTGGAGCATAAGGACAAAGATGTTATGCTGCAGTTATACAAAACCCTGGTTAGACCCCACTTGGAGAACTGTGAGCAGATTTGGGCTCCACACCTTAGGGAGAATAGGTTGGCTTTGAAGCAGGTTTACAAAACAATACCTGGATTTCAGGAGAGATAGCAAGAACTGCAGATGCTGGAGTCAGAGACAGCACAGTGTGGAGCTGGAGGAGCACAGTAGGCCAGGCAGCACCCAAGGAGCAGGAAAGTTGACATTTCGGGTCGGGACCCTTCTTCAGAAACCATTTCTCTGATGCTGCCTGGCCTGCTGTGTTCCTCCAGGTCCACACGGTGTTATCCTGGACTCCAGGAGCTCAATTATGTGGGGAAATTATACAAATTATACCTGTTTACTCTGGAATTTAGTAGGTTAAGGGGTGCCCTGATTAATCTTTTCAATATATTAACAGGAAAAGACAGGGTAGATAAAGAGAAACTATTTCCACTGTTTGGGGATTCTAGAACCAGGGGCATAGTCTGAGAATTAGGGCCAGACCATCAGGACAGGTGTTACGAAGCACTTTGACCCACAAAGGGTGGGAGAGGATTAGAACTGTCTTCTAAAAACAGTAGTGGATGCTGGATTGATTGTTAATTTCAAAACTGAGATAGGTAAGTTTTTTTTTTGTTGAGCAAATGTATTAAGGGATATGGGCCAAAGGCAGGTATATGGGGTTAAGGCACAGATCAGCCATGATATCATTGATCAGAGGATTAGTTAGGGTGGACAGTGGGAGCCTTTTTCCTCGGATGGTGATGGCTAGCACGAGGGGACATAGCTTTAAATTGAGGGGTGATAGATATAGGACAGATGTCAGAGGTAGGTTCTTTACTCAGAGAGTAGTAAGGGCGTGGAATGCCCTGCCTGCAAAAATAGTAGACTCGCCCACTTTAAGGGCATTTAAATGGTCATTGGATAAACATATGGATGATAATGGAATAGTTTAGGTTAGATGGGCTTCAGATTGGTTTCACAGGTCGGCACAACATCGAGGGCCGAAGGGCCTGTACTGCGCTGTAATGTTCTATGTTCTATGAATTGTGGAACAAGCTCGATGGGTTGAATGGCCTATTCCTGTTCCTGCCATTTATTGAGTACTCTCCTGTCTTGTTACTTCCAAATTTCACCACCTCATAGGGTTAAGTTCCTTCTGCCCATCTATATCCTCCTGTAACCTGAGACCTTCTTCCTCATAGTTAACCACCTGACTAATCTTTGTGTCAATTTTTGTACACTTTTGATCTCCCTACTTAAGAAAGGACACCTACGCTCGGTTCCCAACAAACAACTGCACCTCCCAGTCGCGAACCATTTCAACTCCCCCT